TGTCAATGAAAATGTGCAAGAGAGCTCCCTTGAGCCGCCATGGGGCTATAGATAGAGCCCCGGTGAAATAGAGCCGTTGTACCCCTTCTTTGGGCACAACGCTGGGTGACCGGACGCCTCGGTCCGATTGACCGGACGCTGGCCCTCGGCGTCCGGTCACGTGATTCACGCCACGTGTCCCCTCGCTTCAAATGTTGTTCGTCGATTTCAACGGTCATGAAAGTCTGACCGGACGCTTGATAAAATCGACCGGACGCTGAAGCCCAGCCCGTCCGGCCGTTTCGAAGAAAGCTCCCGAGGCATGTTTTTTTGGCCGGACGTCCGTCCGGTCCACCTTGACCGGACGCATCCGGTCGTCCGTGCTCAACCCTAGCTATCAGGTTGTGGCGATACCGACCGGACGCAGCTTTTCGTCCGTCCGGTCATTGAGTGACTCAAAGCGTCCGGCCAAGAGACCGACGCCAAAGATCATTTCGATCAACTCTTACTTTTTCACCCTTGCTCAAGTGTGCCAACCACCAAGAATTTTGCATCCGCGCAATAGAAAATAGACATTTTATTTTCCGAAGCGTTGAATCCCGAAAGCAAGCTTCGGCGGGAGGGAGAGAGGGACCCAAACCCATCTCAACCCTACAAACACCTTGTGCACATGTGGTAGCATATTTACACAAATATTATCAAGGGTGTTAGCACTCCACTAGATCCTAAATGCATATGCAATGAGTTAGAGCATCTAGTGGCACTTTGATAACCGCATTCTGATACGAGTTTCACCCCTCTTAATAGTACGGCTATCAAATCTAAATGTGATCACACTCTCTAAGTGTCTTGATCACCAAAATAAAATAGCTCCTACAAGTTATACCTTTGCCTTGAGCCTTTTGTTTTTCTCTTTCTTCTCTTCAAGTTTAAGCCCTTGATCATCTCCATGATATCACCATTGTCATGTTATGATCTTCATTTGCTTCTCTACTTGAAGTGTGCTACCTATCTCATGATCACTTGATGAACTAGGTTAGCACTTAGGGTTTCATCAATTTACCAAAACCAAACTAGAGCTTTCACCTACTACCATCATGTTTCATCACTCAAAAGTACAAAGCTAGGATCCGGTAGATCTAGTTGTCACCGGGATATTCGAACATACATGCCAGAATCATATTACATTTATCAATCTAACATGGATCACATCTTCTCACTCTGCATCCTCTATCTCTGCATCCTCTGGAACGCCTCAGAGACACAGAACGTTGTTGCACCTGTATGTAGATGTACAAACATAAAATTGAATCATACAAGGGCCAAATGATTATGCAATTCAACATGGCTTTGTTTGATCAAATACTATCGGCCAAAGATCCAAGTTGTAAAAAGTTCACACCAATTTAAGTTTTGAAGCCCTAGCCTTCTTTCACATGTAACTTGATCAACAATACCATAGTACTAAGTATCAATACTTGGAGTAGGGCAGCAGGATGACAGGATGTATGCTAGTTTTTCCGAGTTTTATATCTAGATTTATTACAAAACAACACTACTTGACATAAGCTTGAAAGAAGGGAACAAGAAACATTACTTGATCAGATCTCACCCAGGTTTCTAGAGAATTGACCATGAATGTACTCCTCGGTGTTGGCAAGCTGCACGCAGTAGAAAAAAAGGCAGCAATGAATTTTGTATGTCTTTCAGTACCCAATAGATGATTAGCTATTCATTTAAAGTACCCAATAGATGCAAATTGACAGCTTCTCTAATTGTGTTGAAAACTCCTTGATCCTCCATTCTTGTTTCTAACCAGCCCCACTGTAGCCTGTTTTAGTAAAAGTTAATTAACAGAATAAATAAGGAGATACTTATGTGTGCAGTAGATTATTCAACACTAATTTACTGCTAGCACAGTGTATTATGTTCTTTTAAAATATTAGACACAAAAGTCAAATTGTTGAAACAGCAACCGCTAAAAAAGCAGTCCATGGCTATAAATTCCATGTCGAACTCATAACGTCTTGTGAACTGATGCAATTGGTCACCTCACCAAGAGTAGGTTCATACTCATGAGTCATGACTGATCCAAAAAACAATGAAAGAAAATGAATCAATATATAGTGAAGGGGAAATTCAACAGTAGATTTTTCGCAAAAACAATTGAAAGAGATAACAACATCCATCCAGCAACCAAATTACCCCGTCAGGGCCCCATAAAAATAATTCTCACTTGCTCCTGGTAGCAAAAATTGGCGAGCACCACGGCCTGCTACATATCCCAAATTCTCAGCCACAACAAAGAAAAAAATTATCATAGGTGCTGCAATTTTCTCAATCGTGAATTAGCAGCATATACCTCTGTGACAAGCCAACCCTCACCTCCACTGTCGCAGCAACAGCGGCTCGTCACCGCCCATCCCCACAGGAGCAGCTTGGGTTAGCACCGTGACGGCTGCAACGGCGGTGGCCCCGCCCAGCTTCGCTCCCTGCCGCATCCTCGCGTCGCGCGGCAGCGGCCCCGCATGGCCTCGGCCGACGGCGGCACGGTGCGCGGGAGGAGAAGGGTCGGAGATGGGTCTACAAGAGAGAGGAGGGCGACAAGAAAAAGAGAGGAACTTCCGCGCTGTGCTCGCTTGGGTGAGGTCGCCGGTAGCGCTCTTGTCCTTCGCGGCGGAGGCTGTGCTCGCTCGGGTGAGGTCATCGGCAGCGCTCCTGTCCGTCACGGCGGAGGCGGAGGATGTCGCGCGCCGGCGTAGGCCGTAGGGCCTGACGGCGATTTGTTTTTTCATTTTTCTCTTTTTTTTCCGGTGCTAGCAGGGTTCGCGAGGCACGATGGCATGGGATTCGATCACTGGCCGCTGAGGGAGCGCGGAGGGCTGAGCGCGTGCGGGGGAGGTGCGGGTGCGTTGAAGCCTGCAGATCCAAGTAACATTGGCCATCGGATCGGGTTTAAGCTTGCGAGGGAGGATTAGGAGCCATAGATTTTAATGATGTTAAAATCTTATGTGTAATTTTCTAGGTACACAGTGGTTAGACTCTTTCAGCGGGGAACATATTGTTTGGTGTATCTAAAATAATTTGAATTGATCCGTTATAGTAGAGATTTGCCGTAGAATATGGCTAGGACTTGTACCTAACTTTAGACGTGCAAACTGTGGCCGGCAACCAAACAGGCCCGAAATCACTTCCTGGAATCTAGATACGCTGAACCTGGTCGCTATGCGAGAGAGCGCAAAGGTGGCTGAATAACTGGGCCCCGAATGAAACGTGTGGCTTTTTTTTTCTAGCCCAGCCCGCCGAACTGAATAGTTACAACTAAATGGGCTAGGTTTGGCATGAAGCCCATACAGAATCTTCCTTTTGTAAGATCTGGGTTTATGCCAGTGTTTTAGTTTTGTGCTGCTTTACAAATGTGCAAAACTGATCCTAATAAAAAATAAATGTGCAAAATTATATAGAATACTAAAAACAATAGCTTGCATCTATGTGTTGTGGATTGTTTACTGTTGGTAGGCTGCAATAATAAGGCCAAAAAAGTGTAGTTTTTTTAACAAAAATAAAAGGAAAATAAACAAAGAAAAAAGCTAGGCCAAGTGTGATGTGTGAGGAGACATAAGGTCCCAAGCAGTGGCGGATGCACGATGCGGGATAAGGGGGCTAAAACAATGGAGATGTTAATTTGCATGAAGATTTAACGGTGAAATTAAGCTTTTGCTACAGTGATTAGTGGTGAAATCAAGGTATTAGGGGGGGCTGGAGCCCCCCCTCCCCCCAGCCCCCCTTTGGATCCGCCCCTGGTCCCAAGCTCATACGCAAATGCAACCGCGCATATCTGATTTCGTCTCCAAAGGTCCACTTCACTTGCAATTGCAACACCGAGCAGTCAACCTGGTAGGTCACCAGCCGGAACTCCACCGCTTTGATCTCGGATTGTGTCACACTTCATCGCCCTGCTCAATTATCCGCTGATCATGACCATTAGACCACATTATTTCATGGTTTACTCCATGCTGCTGGAGCAAGGAAAATCTTGCTAGCTAGGTAGAGTGAAGTGTGGTCGACCAGTGACGACATTGATGCTTATTTTATTTGCTCCACAAGCTTACAACTCCTGGGCAGCCAGCTCATACCTCCCTCCATCTCGGCAACCAAAGGAAGAAGACGAGATGCTCACATATATCCGCTAGCTGCTGGGCTACGTGAACGTGATCGGCCGCCATTGCTGTTGCAGTGTTTCTCTGAACCCACACACCCAACGCGAAGCGGAACACGCTTGCTCGGAGTAGCCGCCGCCGTGTTCGCATGGCTCGCCTCCAGCTCGCACGCGTTCCCCTTCCCCATCCCCTTGCTCGAACCCTACACGAGCCAGAAGGACGGTGAGGGCAGCCTCCATGCTCGATCGCCGCCTTCCATCTCTGCTGACCCGACCTTTCTCTGCTCTACCCAGTATATATATCTTGCATTTTGCAGACTGCATTGCAGAGGCTAATTTAAGTTCTGTCATTTTTTTTGGTTTGGGCCTCGTTTAGTTGGCGAATTATTTTGGGAAATGGTACTGTAGCACTTTCGTTGTTATTTGGTAATTAGTGTCCAATCATAATCTAATTAGGCTTAAAAGATTCGTCTCGTGAATTTCGTCTAAACTGTGTAATTAATTTTATTTTTTATTTATATTTAATGCTTCATACATGCGTCCAAAGATTCGATATGACGGGAAATCTTAAAAAATTTTGCAAATTTTTGGAAAATAAACATACACTTGGTACATGCGGCCTGTTTGGATGATGCCCTAGCCCCTGGCTGCCTGCCAGGCAACGCATCCTGGCCACAGGCACAAGAAATCGGACGCCTGACATTCTTGCCTGTCTTTTGAGTTGCCTAGCGGTCACCATCCAAACAGGCCCATCAACGACCTGTACGCGGCACTGGGCTCGCCGGACCTCGACGGCTGGACGGGGTCGGGAGGAGACCCCTGCAGGGAGGCATGGCAGGGGGTGCAGTGCGACGGCCCCAACATGACCACAATGTAAGGCTGCACGTCAGCAGCTCTGGGTCTGTTCGGCAGGACTGAAAAATAAACAAAAATATTGTTCCAGTTGATTGTTGCGAGAGAAAAATACTGTTCTGTCTGGACGTGAACAGTGTTTCTGTGAGTGAGCTGGCCAGCCAGGCTCAGCCCAGCCAGCCAGCCGAACGCTCTCTCTGTCCATCTCCATTGGCACTGCCGCTCTGCTCTTCAGCAGACGAGATTCCGCGCATGCAGTTCAGGGCCTATTTAGATCCAAATTTGTTTGCGTAGTTTCCATCACATCGAATCTTACGGCACGTGCATGGAGTACTAAATGTAGACGAAAAAAAACTAATTACACAATTAGGTAAGAAATCGCGAGACGAAACTTTCGAACCTAATTAATCTATAATTAAACATTAATTGTTAAATACAAACGAAAATGCTACAGTAGCCAAAACCCAAAAAAATTTGCATCTAAACGCGCCCTCAGTAGTTCACTGATGTGTCATCTGTCATGTGTGTCGACCTGGCTGACAGAGACCTCCGAGATGCAGGCCTGGGAGGGAAGCTGAGCCAGACACTTGGAGATTTCACTGCCATCACAAAACTGTGAGCATTCAAATTTCAAGGAGCGTGCTAGTTCATCTTTTCTTTTCTTCGATCATCTTGTGACTCGATCGCCACCGGCACAGGGACCTGAGCAACAACCAACAGGCTGTTCGTTTGCTCGTAAACGATTGTAAATTTCCAGCCGGGAACAGTATTTTTCTCTCACATTAAACCAACCAGCAGTAAATAATCCACGATACGATACGGCCTCCCGAACAGGCTGCAAATCGGCGGCGAGCTGCCACAGAGCTTACCACCGGCGCTGGCACGGCTGTGAGAGAGACCCAACTCTGAATTTATCCTTCAGTGTCAGAAGCACACCCTATGTAGCTCAATCTCAATGATGTTTGCTCCTTGATCCTGCTTTGCAGAGATCTTTCTTCAAATAGTATCAGTGGAGAACTTCCGGATTCGATGGCAAAGCTAAGCTCACTGTCAACACTGTAAGTGCCACCCTTATACAGAACTTTTCATTTTTGGATGGTTTTCTTGTGCCTAAAGTGATTTTTTTTACTGAATTTGTCGTGTATGTGCACATTGCAGGCATGTGCAGAACAATCAGCTAACTGGGACACTCGACGTGCTTCGAGATCTTCCCCTGACAGATCTGTAATTTCTTTGTCAAACTCACACTGAAACGACCTTTCTACTTCCTTGCTGTCAAACAAATACTACTCTCTGACACTGTCAAGCTATCTTAACAATTCTTACTGCATTTTTTTTCTCACCTAATCTTCACTCTCACCGATTTTTTTTGAACATTTGCAGGAACGTGGAGAACAATCAGTTCTCCGGACCAATCCCAGACAAGCTGCTCTCAGTCCCCAAATTCCTGTAAGACTGACGACTTGACGAGCCATCATTCACTTTACCTCTTCTCTTCTCAAGCACACAACTACACTATACTAATAGTTCGTTGCCTGTCTGACTAAACGTTGCTGCTTGATTCTTTCTAGACGAAATGGCAACCATTTCACCGAACCACCGACCCCCGAGTCCTCCCCAACTCCGGCGACTCCGCCACCGCCTCCGGTTCCTCCAAGCCATGTGCCACCACCACCAGCTGCACCAGAAGAGCCTCCAGTCCTCTCTGGCTCACACCCACCTATATATGTAATTCCAGCTCCGCCACAGGACGCCCCTCCGAGCAGACACAAGGACAGAGTGTCACCGGCGAAGGCCGCCGGGTTCAGCATCCTCGCCGCCGGTTCGCTGAGCGTCGCCGTCGTTGCGATCCTGTTCACGGCGTCGAAACGGCGCAGGGAGAGGTCCCTTCGTGTAGGGTACCTGAGAGGAGCTGAGATGAGCACGCCGAGCTCGGTGAGGGGCCTCCTGGACTAATCCGTATTCGGCGTCGTAGCATTTTCGTTTGTATTTGATAATTATTGTCAAATCATGATCTAACTAGGCTCAAAAGATTCGTCTCGTAATTTACAATCAAACTGTGTAATTAATTATTTTTTTATCTATATTTAATACTCCATACATGTGTCTAAAGATTTGATGTGACGAAGAGAGAGTGAAAAAACTTGCAATCTAAATGAGGCCTACGTGCAGTTGCCATTGCCAAACCGGAGAAAGACAGAGACCCTCATTCAGGTACACGGAAGAGTACAGCTGTCATTTCACTAACATTTGTGCATTCTGACTTCTGAGTAATTTTAATAAAAGTCCAGTAGGGGGCGCACCCCTCCTGTTTCACACAAAAAAAACATTTGTGCATTCTGAGTTCATGTTTTTTGCTTTTTGGTTGATTTGTTATCACTGAAGCTGCTGAGGAGAAGATCGAACGGACTCCGAGAGATTATGTCAAGGCAGCAGGATCATCTTTCAAGAGCAGCAGCAACGGGAGCATCGTGTCAGATAAGAAGAATGTTCAGCGCAGTTCAGAAGGCCCGCCAGTGCACCTGCAACTCCCTTTCACGCTCTTCACCGTTGCATCGCTGCAGCAATACACCAACGGTTTCAGCGACCAGGATCTGATGAGGGAGACCTGCTTCGGCAAGGTCTATCCAGCAGATCGACCAACGGGAAGCAAGGTAGAGTAACCTTGCAAGAACGCCGACTCTGACGCGTACATACAGCCAGTTTCTTCAGGGCTGGCATTCTCGCCTCAACCATGCATCCCTCTGTGTTCTTCTCTAGCTTTCTGAAACAACTCCGATTTTCACGAAGGGAAATCCACAGAGTTAAAGTGTAATAAAATCGTTGTAGATCATATTACCCAAATTCCAGTCGAATATCACATCCATACAACGATAATAACAGAGTACAAATAGTGCGGAATACATAAATTATTACATCGCCGCATTGGCGGAATCAAAAGTAGCATTCATTCAGAACAGCTTGAAGATAAGATCGCCAAACTCGAACGTAGGCACGAATCCCTCAACTGCCAAACTCCTCGGAGCTATACTCCTCAACAGAACTTGTGTGCCAAAATTTATCAGTACGATTTGTACTGACCACTCCCAACCCTATGAGCATTGCTTTGTGAAAATTGGATGCAAATTGGTTATAATCAAGAGGAACCTAAAAGGCTGGGGTTTCCTATACATTAACGTACCAAGTATATAATAATAGTTGGTCAAGTTTTAACACCACCCACACACATTCCTCCCCCATTTCCATTCCAGAGCCAGGTTTCGATCCTGGGATCGATAAACCACCATCTCCACACCATCACCATACCACAGCCATATCATCGCTCAGTCGACAGGCCAACTCCCTCTCGGCACTGTCTCAAGGCCCGTAGCCCCTGGCTACGTCCGAACACTCAACCCAAGGGGAGAAAAGAAAGACTCATCTCACTATCTAGTTTAAGCGAAACCCAGGAAAGGTCCATAGCCGACAAGTCGGCATATGTATCGATCGATCAACCATACACTCTACAGAGGTTTTACATAACCACAAGATCTACCTTCCTCGCTGACCGTTGTCAACTAGGCTGATTCCGACCGCTTGCTAGCCTAGGATAATGCCACTCTACCATTCAGCCCTGGTACACCCCAAGTCCGGTCTGGGGTGGCTGAAACTATGAGTCACGAGCCGGGTCCACAAGGTCTCCATGAAGTCTCGGAAGGATGTGGGGGAAATCCTCCGCACCCCGTACCTCCTTACACTGTCCGCTAACAACCTAGCAGTAGTGGCAATATCCTACCAAGTAGTCCGGCCGTCCCGCACCATATAGGGCGAGTGGTACGTAAGGCTTCCCGGTGAATCTGAGTACTAGTAAGTCCTTAGGGATGACCAAGCCAGAATGTCTTCATCAGGGTTTCCATTTACCGTGCCACCACAGCACCTCCACCCTGGGCTCCTCCCATCACAGGATCACACCCAAGGCCACCTCTTATATCATTTACCCACCACAGGTATCCATCCCAGGGGTGCCCAGGTAGCACCCCACGGCATGACTTGCCCTAGGCTCGTCGTATACTCCAACTTGGTCGACACAACCCTCACCCTCCACGCACCCAAGTCACACACGCAACACTCTCCCCATGGTCCAGATAACACCAGTTTCCACCACGCCTCCATATAGTGCAAGCGTAGTAGAAGTAGTAAGCAATGAAATATATTAGCAAGCGTGTGACTAGCCTAACAGCAGGGTGAGCAGGGGTAAGGTTGCGTCAAGGTAAAGGCCATCAAGAAAGCATACTACCATGCAAGTCCTACCATAATGTGATCATGACAATAAAGTAAGCGCTAGCATTTCTATATTAGCCATGCGTAATAGGTGCTACGAGATTGGGTGGGATGTGGCACCTTTATTGTAGTCGTCTCTGTACTCCTCACGATACTCACGGTCCTCGTCCGTCCGGTTCTCCTCTGAGTCTGCAAACGATCGCATTATAGTCGCGTTAGCGACGTCTATGGAATAGCACAAAGAAGCAATGAAAATTCAAAAGAGCCAAATGCACTCAAACATGGGTTCATTGCGTAGAGCTCGATTTTAGATGAATTTTAGTCCTAGTTTCGTATTTTTCTGAGGTCGTATGAATTAGTTACGAATTTCTGAAGATTAAATCTATTTCTGAAAATGGAAAAAGGCTGACATGTGTCACGCTGTGGTTGGTCCACGTGGCTTGCTGACATCAGCATGATGTTAGCATCATGGTTCCGAGCTGACAGGTGGGGTCTAGCTGACGTCAGCATGACGTCATCAACGTCATGCACACCGACAGGTGGGGCCAAAGGCTATTGGGTCACTGACAGGTGGGTCCGGTCAAGTCAACGTCGGTCAACGTTAGTCAATGGTCAACAGTCAGGGTCACTGACATGTGGGGTCTGGGCTGCTGACGTCAGCAGCTGATGTCAGCGTGATGTCAGCATGACGTCACCACGACCGTGTAGGTTCCTGACGTGTGGGTCCCGCGTGACGTCATCACAATGCCAGCATGACGTCAGCGTCTGACGTGTGGGTCCAGCAATACTGTGTCGCTGACATGTGGGGCCAGGTCAATGGTCACACACGGGCCGGGTCTCAAACGGGCCGGTTGGGCTTCGGATTGGGCCGGTCTGGGCCGGGCCAGGCCGGACACGTGGCAGGCTGTGGCGCAGCCACGTCACGGCCATGGGCTCTTACTGGGCCTCGTGCTCAGGCTGTGGGCGTGGGCGCGGCTCACGGTGGACCCATGTTTACGGTCCATGGACCTACGGCAGGGCGCATGGTGGACCAAGTCCACCGTCTCTTCTCCTTGGCTCGGCTCACGTGCACCGTGTTCACGCATGGGTGGCCGGTGAGGGGGGTGTTCCCCTGTTTCTTACCGCGGCGGTGCTCCTACCGGCGGCGAGCTCACGGTGAGCCCCCGCGGTGGCGCTGGTGTCCGATTGGGGAGGGGAAAAGCTTCCCTAGGCCACGACGACTGTGTCAGTGGGGTCAAAGTGGCGGCAAGAGCTTCCCCAAGGTGCTGGCCACGGCGAGCGGCGGCTCGAGCTCCACCGGCGTGCGGGAATGGCGTGGGGCTGCGTCATAGGCTGGTTCTGTGGTGCGCGTGGGCGACACAACGCTCCAACGGGCATGTTGGGCAGGTCGAGGGGTCCTCCAGGGCCTCCGGTGGCTTTGGCCACGGCGTCGCCCTTCCGAGCTCGACGGCGGTATTGGTGAGGTGTCTACGGTCATGGTAAAACATCTCGGTGGGGCGTGCACGCTTCTACGGATTCGTGGGAACACGGCGAGGTCATCCAGACTCAAGGCGAGGCTCGGTTCTCCTATGGCCGGTGGGCACATCCCGGTGGCCACGGCGACGGTGAAGACGACGGCGAGGCACGCGGGCACGCTACGGCGACGGTGAAGCATCATGGTGGGGTGTGTTGGCTCCTACGGATTCATGTGGACGCGGCGAGGGCGTCCCGAGCTCTAGGTGGGGCTTCGGCTTCCCGGTGGTCGGTAGGGGCTCCAGCGGCCACGGCGACGGTGATGTCGGCGAGGCGCGCGGTGATCTATGGGGCTCTAGCGGGGTAGTCACGGCATGGTCGCGATTGTGCGCGTGGTGCGTGTGTTCCTAGTGGCCGGGGACAAGGCACTGGTGAAAGGTCGAGATGGCGGACTAGAGGGGGGGTGAATAGTCTTTTCTAAAATTAATCACGTCGGCTTAGCCAATATAAATGCGGAATTAAAACAATCGGTCTAGCCAAGACTACACCCCTCTATATATGTTCACTAGCACCTTACAAAGATACTAATAAAGCAACTAAGGTGCCGGGCTAGCTAGAGCTCTCCTAAACAATTCTAGGAGCAAGGTCACACAAACCTATGCCACTAGTACTTTGAGTAACAAGGGAGCTCCTACACATGCTAGTAAGCAAAAGCACAAAGCTAACTAAGCTCACTAGCAATGCTCAATAACAAGGCAACCAACGCCTAATTAGAGAGCGCAAATACTTAGCTACACAAACTAAGCAATGTGACTAACAAGGTTACTAAAACCAAATTAGCCACGCAAGGGAGCTACTTCTATGCTACACAAGCAAGAAGGTAATTAGCTAGCTACACAAGCTATCTAATTACAAGAGCAACTACACAAGCTTAAGATATATATATAAGTAATTGCAAGCTTGTGTAATGGGGATGCAAACCAACGGGAAGAACAAGGTTGATACGATGATTTTTCTCCCGAGGTTCACATGTTTGCCAACACGCTAGTCCCCGTTGTGTCGACCGCTCACTTGGTGGTTCGGCGGCTAATTAGCATCACCCGCTAAGCCCGCACGTCGGGCACCGCAAGAACCTACCCCTTGAGTGAGGGTAGCTCAATGACACGCTTTACTAAAGTTGCTCTTCGCGACTCCCGCGGGGCGAGCACAAGTACCCCTCACAAGCACTTCTCCGGAGCGCCGCACAAGCTTCTTGCGGGCTTCACTTCTCCAGAATCTCACCCCTGCAAACACCACCTCCTTTGTAAATGTGCCAACACCACCAAGTGTACACCATCATGTGTATGTTAGCATTTTCACAAACATTTCCCAAAGCATGTTAGCCACTCAACTTGCCACGCCACTCGATCCTAGCGACAATGCAAAGTTAGATCACTCGAGTGGCACTAGATGACCGATATGCAAACAAGTTTGCCCCTCTTGATAGTACGGCCATCTATCCTAAACCCGGTCATAAACTTCTCTACACACCTATGACCGGTGAAATGAAATGCCCTAGGTTATACCTTTGCCTTGCGCATTCCATACCATCTCCTCCAATGTCGATGCAACACATGCACCAACACTATCAACAATGATATGATCCACTTCATATCATCACGTGATCATATTGGTTCATCGATCTTGACTTCACTTGCCCTTCACCGTTGCCATCGTCCATCGGCGCCAAGTCTTGCTCAAGCTTCACCGCCACGCGATCCATCACTCCAAAGCCTTCGACTTGCCCTTCACGCTTGCAACCGGTCCATCAAGCCAAGTCTTGTCTTGATCTTCTCCACCTTGATCACATGACTCAATGTCATGTCTCATGTGCAATAAGCTCCTTCATCATCACATGTGTGAGCTTTGCAACATCTCCAAGCCATTTTCACCTCCATGGCAT